GGGCAGTACACAACATTCCATGTCCCAAGACACAAAGCCCTTTATTTGCCCTCTACACAAAGGTCCCCCAGTGTCATTCTGCAGGGAATCTTTTCTGCCCTTTTTGACCCCAGCACAGACCATGTTTACAGTGATCCCTCTGGGGTCAGCAGCTCTTCCTTCTCTGAGGAGATACTGATGTTCATGTGCTAGAGGGTGCAGAAACATCAGGCAATAGGACTGGAAATAGCCTCCTAGTGTGGCATTATGCAAGGTGTCCCAGGGCTGGCACAGAATCCTGCCAGATGAATGGGTTGAACTCTGGAGCTCAGTATGGCTGGTTTATTGAGGAAAAGCCAAATGAGGTCATGAGCATGGATTCCGCTGTTATACTGATAGTAGATCATCTGGCAGACTGTTTTCAAAGGCTGCTCTAACAGTTTCTGGAGCTTGAGTTCTGTTTCCTCAAGCCTACTTGATGGTATGGGTAAGCAAAGTGAGTGGCCATGAGGACCCATTGATCAGACAATAGGATGCCCCCACAGTGGAACCGTTAGTGGGTGAACATCCAGCTTGCCAGAGCTAAGGGGGAAAAACATGATCATGGTGGGATGCTGTTCCATTTTTTCACTTTATAATTGGCTTATTACCCTTTGAGTTATATACCACATTCTCTTTGGAATATGTAGTCCCCACTTTATAGAACACTGGTCCAAACAATATTTATCTTTTATCTACTTTTTTTGTTTATTCTGTTTCATTTTTACCCCTTGTGTGGATTGTTGGGCCAGACTCAAAATTTTGAGTGATTTTTTTTTAAAAACCAGAATCATATTCACATTGTTTCAGGGAACAGTCAGTGAGAAACCTCCCTTTTCCAGTGTAGATCAGCAACTGTTTGACAACTTAAAATATTCAAGTGTTGCCAAGGATACAGAGTTAAGTGACTCTCTCAGAGTCATACAAAGCAGTATTGTTAGAGGAGAGAACCTGGTCTTCTTTTCTCCATGGCCAGCTCTTTACCCACCACATTGCTCTCTGTCTCAGAGAGATTATTCATCTCATGTAGGGGGCTCTGTGATGCTGTTTATTTCAAGACAGATGACCTCTTCAGAACTCGCTTTCTTCATTTGTAAAATTAAAGTAGAGATGTAGAAGATCTCTTAGATTCTTCTTGCCTTTAGTTTCTGTGATTGAAGAGCAATGTTCTTCATTCTGATCCCCTTTCCATTGCTAATAATGTGTTGTAGATTTTTTAAAAGTCAGAATTACTACTTTTAAAATTTCCTTCATGTTTATATGATTGTTTGCATCTTATACCTCCCTTTTCAAATTCCTTACACGTGTGCTTTATCCTGACTCTCGAATGGAAGAATAATTATATAGCCACAGTTCATCTAAATGAAGGTGACATTTCCTAAGGATAAAATGTGGCTCAGGGTGGTATTTACAATATGGGATTTTATGTCTTGTGACTAAAAAACAACAAATGGTTTTCACCTTCATTGCTGACTAACATGGACTCCTATATTTTTAAACCTTTTTTACAAAAAAGATTTATTTGCATGGTGATAGGAAACAACCATGGAAGACTATGCCAAATGAGGCCTTTTACCTTTTACCAACTTTTATCAATAATTTTCTTAGTTGTGTGCTGAACAGAGGTACTACTTGTTTTCCATCATGTTGACAAACAAGCATATGCCATAAACTATAAGTAAAATTGGTTTGAATCCCCACCTTCTAATGTAAAAAACATGTGGTAGGAACAGGTGGTGCTCATTAAACTTAGGTCCCACCTGAAGCTTAAGACAATCTTATTTGAGAAAGATTTTTTTTATATTACCATAGCAATGGAGTTCTGTAAACATTTGGAGCATCCTTCATTTTCTGACTTGTTGCCCTTCCAGATAGTTTTTCAAAGGGCATCCAATTTTGTGGAAAAGTTCCTTTTTACTCACTGGTAGTGATAAATGTAGTAGAACCTTCTATCAGAGGATTTTCCTCCTCTTTGGAAAATATCTCTGTATCTAAAATCATTTTGGCTCATCTTCGCTTTTTGGGGGGTAAATTTGGAATTGCACCTGTAGCCATTATTACCATTTTTGCTTTTAATTTTTATCTCCAACACTTAGCACAGTGCCTGGCACATGCTGTTTCATAAATTCTTGTCAATTGACTAACTGATATGTTTGTTATCTTTCTCTTCCTCCAAGGCCAAGTTAAGGTGTTAACTCATTATGTGGGTCTCCTATAATTTTCTTAGCTAGAAATAAGTCCTTCTGTTCCTGACTTTATCATTTCTCTTTGATGCCTCCTAACTGCTTGATCATATTCTCACTTGTATTTTTGTTGTGTATAGAAATAACTCATTTCCCCTTACTAGATTACAAATTTCTTGAAGGTAGAAGTTGCATTTTACCTTCATTTTTAACTTAACCCATACTATTTTAATAAATACTACTCTGTATAACAGATTTAGAGTTAGAAGAGATGGTGTGAGGCATTGAGTCCAACTCCATTTTGCAGATGAGAAAACTGAGACCCAGGTAAGTAAAGTGGTGCAACTAGTAAGTGTTTGAAGCTGAATTAGAACCCACTTCTTCCTGACTCCAGGTCCAGCACTTATTCACTATACTCTCTGTATCTAGGGTAAGTAGTTAAGAACTTCCTATTCTATACCTTCTCTCTTGGTGATACATCAGCATCCATGGTTGGATGGATGGATAGATAGATAGATAGATAGATAGATAGATAGATAGATAGATAGAGACATATGCATACATATATCTACACATGTATATATATGTGTGTGTAAAATATATATAATATATACAGCAAAAAAGGTTTGCCAAGCACTTTGTATATGTTTTTAAATTTGTTCTTTACAACAACTTTGTGGGATATATAATATAATATAATATATACACATATATTACAAAACATATATTGCAAATATAGATACTGAATATATATTGCAATTATATATACAAACATACATATATTACTATGTATATATTAAAAAGACTTACAAATCACTTTATATATCTTTTCTTACTTGATCTTCACAACAACCTTGTGAGGTGCTGATTTTATAGAAGAAGAAACTGGGACTGAGAGAAGTTAAGTGACTTGCCCAGAATGGCACAGATAGTAAGTGTTTGAGGCAGAATTCAAAATCAGGGCTTCCTGACTCCAAGTCCAACATTCTATAGACCAGAGATGTCAAACATGCTGCAGACAAACCATGTACTGTCCACAACATTCTGGCATGACCATGAAATTACATTAAGATGTTACTGGGAAATATTTACCAAAATAAATACAAAAATAAAACACTGTAGATATTGTTAATTTGTGATTTTGTAAGTCAATATGCAGCCCACAGTGATGCATTTCTTGTTAAGCTTGACACCGGCTATACATTATGCTCACATTTGAATATCCAGCCAAACTTTATTATGAACTCCATTCCCATATTACCAACCACTCTCGTCATCTTCATTTATACAAACCCTTGCTCCTTTCATAGCACAGCTTAAGTGCTCCTGCCTACCTGAGACCTTCCCAGGTACCCCAGCTGCTATTCCCCTCCCTCCCCAAATTAATTTTTATTTCTTTTATGTGTAGATAGAAAGGTATAGCTATATTCTGTATAGCTATGTTCTGTATTTACTTACATGAATATATTCTCTTTTATATATAGATATTGTTTTCATAAAATAAATATAAATATAACATATTGTTAATTTGTGGTTTTCTTAAGTCAATATTCAGCCCACAGTTGTTTGACACCACTGATCTATACTATGCCCACATCTATATGCAGCCAAACTTTCTCATGAGCTCCAGTCCTATTTCCAGTTCTACATTTATTATCCCTACATAGATTCTAAGCTAATTGATGAAGGGATAGTTTCATTTTTGGCTTTTTAGCTCCCAGAACCTAAAATAATGCCTGATATTAGTAAATGGTTACTAATGTTTGTTAATTATATTGTCCATTATCAAGAAACTAAAGAAACTCCCCCAGAATATTGGATGGATCACCTGTGGAAGATGTACTGATAGACTTGGACAATGTGCATCAATGGAATGGGTAGTTGCATTAGTAAGATTATTGAGCCACAGAAATATCGAAGGAATGTCACCAGTAAGTGGGCAGAATGCTATAGATATAATGTACTTAGATTTCAGCAATGCATTTGGCAGAATTTTTCTTAGTGATAAAATGAATCAAATTATAGTACACTTAGGTACATTCAGACCTGTTTGAATGACTGGCCACAAAGAGTAGTTATTAATGGTGTAAAACTTAGAAGGAGTCCTCTGGCCAAGAAACCCAGGAATGTTCCCTTAGCCTTATGCTCTTCAATATTTTTATTAATGACTTCAATGAAGGCCTTTATGGACTACTTCTTCAATTTGCAGGTGATAACAAACTGAAAGGGCTCCTTAGATCTTGCTTAGATGACACAGTCAGTTTCCCAAAAGGTCGTGGCAGACTAGGACCCTTGGATGAATTGAATGATGAATTAGTATCAAGAAGAGTGTGACCAGGATGAGGAGAGGGCTAGGAAAATGTCTTATGAAAATACCTGGGATATTTAGCCCATAGAAAAGATGGCTAGTCAGGGGGGAGGCCACAATAACAGCCTTCAGATATTTGAAGGATTGTATCATGGAATGGAAAGGGAAGGTGTAAAGACCAGCCATATTGCAAATCAGTAAGTGCAAGAGGAAGAAATCTAAAAAGAAATAATCACTTTTGTGTGTGCTAATCAATGGTTAATAACCATTTCTGGGGAAAAATGTATGCCCCCTTTAAGTTTAATTTGCATTATTGGTGTTTTCTCTATCACTTTCTTAAGTCTAGACAATCAACAACAATAACAAAAAATCAAGCTCTGATTTGTAGCATTTGTGATTTTGAGGTATAAATACACTGGAATTTTAACATTCTGAGTCAAGTTGACTCCAGCACACTCCTGACCACTCTCTCCTCTCCTGTCACTCAAAAGGTATACTTCATTGCTTGACTCCTGGCCTGGATGACAAACATGGTACAATTTGATCTCTGATCCTAAGAATTAAAAAATGCCTGAAGCTGCTCACAAAAATCTGACCAGAAAAACAAATCGTAAGGAGTAGTCATCTGTCAAATCAAACCCACTTTCTGCATTAAGCCCTCTGTTGTAGCAGTCTTGGAATTTAAGGAGGTTTCTCCCCAAAAAGTCAAAGTGTCCAGTAAATGCTAAAAGCAATAGATTTTTACTGGGTATGATTTAGTTCACAGGAACATTTAAGGCCTGAGTCATCTGGAGTTGAATAGTCTGATCAGTGGTACAAGCAGGCCTTAAGACAGAATGCTATAATATTGTTAGAGGTGATCATTGTGTGTGTGTGTGTGTGTGTGTGTGTGTGTGTGTGTGTGTGTGTGTTTTGGTGGTGGTGGGGGACTTTTGCTTAATTTGTTACAAAGTACAATTCAATTTGAAGTAGGGGAAGAAAGGAGCAAGATTATATTTTGTCTTGTTTTTAAGAAATAATTGTGATGTGACGAGAAAAATGCATCAGTAAAAATGTTTTGTAATTATTGCTTTTGAAGAATTCAGCCAGGACAGGGCAATCCGGGATACAACCAGGAAATCATCAGAGCTGAGGTGCAGTCCTCTTCAGGTCACAACAGAAGGAGGCAGTCAACGGTGGACAGCTACCCTCTCAATGCAGTGTGCCCTGTCTCTTCTAGTTCCATGAGTGGGGACACCTGGGTCCTTCATCATTTCGACAACCAGGCTTGGCAGGTAAGAGTTGTGAGTTTTGTAGGAGGGTTCAGTTCTTACTTGGGCACATCTCATTGGTTTCCTATCTCTGAAGTCACAGGTAGTAGATAGATGCTGGCAATCTGCTTGTGTTAGAAACCCAGGTATACAGGTAGAAGACATGAAGGTTTCCACATATAGAAGATTAAAAAAAAGAAGCATCGGCAGGGAGAACAGGAAGAGAAGGCATGTACAGAGCAGAAACATGTTATTGCATTCGAGTTTTATGTCTACCAAAGCCTCTCCTTTCCCTTCCCCCACTACCCCAAACTAGAGGGATTTTGTACTACCATATAGATCTTTTGAAAAATTGAAGTATTTGAACTTCTTAAATAAGCAAATCATTATTATGAAATATGCTATTACATATGCTATAGATGGTGAGGTCAATTTAGTTGAGGCTGTGGAATTAGTACTAATCAAAGAAAATGAAAAAAAAAAGTGATGTTGAGAGATCAATGGTAATACAAGCCCCATGCTGAGTATCTTTTCAGTTTAAGATACCTCGTAAATCCTTTATTAACATTCTAAATTAATTCAAAAGATGTTTCTTGTCTGGCTCAACCCAAACATCATTCACTTTCTCCACAACACAGCTGTAACAGCTGCCCAGGCATTTTCTGGGTTGCAGAAACTGTGCTTATTTTGGGAAAAAATTCTAAAGAGCTGTGACTCACAGAAGAAAATCAATAGTCTTCGCAGATCTATAAATATGCTGAGAAGGAAGAATCAGTTTCAGAGTTTGAGACATAGAATCAATAGGATAGAATGCTCAGTGGTTCCATGGAAGGAGGATGGGGTTCCCCAATGGCAGACATTTTGATGATGGTGCCCCATCATAGGGGCTGAGTTCCCTTGCTGTTGAACTACTCCTACCAACTGGTAGCAAAGCTATCAATGATCCAAGAGGGAAGAGGGGAAAAATTATGCTTAGAAAATCAGTTTGTTTGCAAAAGAAAAATCCATCAAGCTTACAAGCTTCAAGGTAACAATGAAAACTAGTCTTCCTGTCACTGTGCAAAGTTACCTTGGAGATATAGTCCATGTTCTTTTCTAGTTGTATAGGCTCTTCAAAACTGAATTAATGCAAATCTCAGAAAGAGTGGCCAGATATTAAAAAATCGATCAAACAAACACTGAGATAGTGACTAGGTTCTTCCTAACCTATGTTTTCTGTTTGTTTGTGTTAGGATTGGTATTTGGTAAATAAGAAACACCTGTAGTTACTGAATAATAGCAAACCACAAAATCAATACAATCATAAACACAGAAGAAACAGTCAAGATATAATTGAAATCTATAATATTTAAATATTTTTGAGCATCACAGCTTTAGAGCTGACAGAGACCTTAGAACGTATTTAATCCAACACTCTCATTTTTCAGATTAGGTAAATAGGTTCCAAAAAGGCTAGATGACTTGTCCAAGACTGTACTGGTTCACATATTCCACTACTTTCATTTTCTAAGTGCTTAGTGCTTAAAAACACTAACCACTATTTAAAAACAAATTGGATTTCATAAAGTCATCCCTTGGCCAAATGGCTGTAGAAAGCACTCATTTCCTCTACTCCCTCCTGTTGAAAAAGATCTACATCCTCCTACTGGCTTGCTGATGAAAATTGAGGCTGTCCAAATCCAAATCAAATTGTTAGAATGGCCAGTGAGGGCTCCTTCAAGTCTTCCTTCTACAATTCATTCCCACCTCCAAGTAGCAGAATTCCTAAAGTGATGGACTAGACAAATTGCTTGGAATATATGGGTAGTTGTTGATGGTGGTGTTGTTGAGTGCACTATGGACAGTTAGTATGATGAGAGCATCAACACAGCTAAATTGGGACCCCATTTTGTGAGTAACATCCTCTTCCAGCTCATGAATGAGAGATGGAAAAATAATGGGGAGTTAGGGACATATTTTGTTCTTTTGGTGCCTTGCATTCTTTTTCCTCTACTGCTGTCTTAATCACTCTCCCAAAACCAAAGTGGCAGATGGTTGAGCATGAGTATGTGTTTGTGTGATATTCAGGGTTGCATTAACTATTTCAGTTTTACTGTATTTTACCCACCTGTACATATACATTGCTATAAGCTCCTGTGTCCCATTTCCTCCTAAAATTTAGGTATAGGAGAGTCCCAAGTGAGAATGCAGCACTCCCAAAGGGAAAAAAAAAAGCGTTTGGTACCTGACATATTGTGTCTAATGTGCTTTGGCAGCACACCCGCAATCTGAATATCAGGACTCTGATTTCAGCTGTAGAAAGAACTCCAGAAAAATTATAAGTGAGTGAGTATGTACAACCCACTGTAAGCTGCCTGTTGATGTCTGTCAAGGCCCCAGTTATGAGGGCTCTTTGAGGATGTGCCAATCTATTTGGGATGGGAAGTCCAGAATGTCGTTCATTCCACAATTTACTAAATGCATGTAGAGGGCAGGGGGTCTGAGGAAATCCCCATAAGAAAAAGGACCCTTGACAAATACAGGAAAGTGACAGAGTTAGGTTCTATAGAAGTCCAGATCCCCCTGGCCCCAAATATACCAGTAAAACTAAAAATATACTAGTAGGAATAGTGATAAAGAAGACTGAAGAGAAGATATCAGATGTTTCATCCAGTCCTAGATTAATCAAAAAGACTTCCAGGGTCATGCAGGAAGGTACAATCAGAGAGAGAAACCTGGGCAGGCAGAAGGCAATGCATAGACCCAGAACCAGAGACCAGCTCCAGGTAGCACAGCAGACAAAACCTAGGTAGCTTAGTTTCCAGGCAGCTAAATAACTATAGTCTTTACGGAGGCACAATAGGATTTGGGACCAGATCAGCACCCAGGCAACACAGTGCCAATTACCTAGTCAGCCCCAAAAGTTACATAGCAGGAGATGGGCCAGACCAGCACCCAAGCAGCTCAGTGTACAGCATCTGGGAAGACCCATTGAGAGTCTAGCAGGAAGCAGAAAGATTAGTACCCAGGCACCCTAGTACCCAGGCCTAGGCTGTATAGCAATCTAACACCCAAATGTCCTGTGCCTTAGCCACACACAGGACTAGAAAGGACCAGGACAGTGCCTGAGAAGCAAAAACTTAAGGTCTTATAGGAGGCCTGCTACCAGCACCATCAGCAAAATCTGTGTTAAGCCTATTAGGCTTACAGCAAGAGAAGGAACCAACTCTGGGTTTGGAATTGTGCAAGAATAAGGAGTCAAAGAAGGAGCCAAGATCAAAACTATGGTCTCTCCACCAAAAGGCTGAGCCAAACCCCAGTAATTCGTACAGAAAAGGAAAGGGGTAGGGTGGGGAGCTAGTCTTGCCACTGCATCCAGAATGAAGCAGGTACCAGCTATATCATCTTAGGAATGCAAGGGAAGAGAGTCTGAACCAAATATAAAGATCCAGCCCAAGAAACCAAGGATGAAGATATAAAAAACAGAAAACCCTGAACATAATCCAGAAATAGTTTGGACTGAGACAAGAACAGGTATTCAAGCCAGGAGAAAAAAGTAACTCTACAATAAGTTCAGATCAAGCATCAGAGCAAGGAAAATCCTCCCCACAGTTATGAGATTGCCTGGAAGAAATGAAAGCAGAGGCATAACATGTAATAATAAAGGAAATGACAGATGGGTAAGAAAGAATGACAAGAAGAATTAATACTATTGAAGAGATGGTGACAAACCTTATACAAGAATTGAATTCCCTGAAAATTAGAATTGGTCAGACAGAAAGCAGTGACTCTATGAGACCCAAGGAATAAGAAAACAAAATCTATAATAACAAACCTGGAAAGAGACAAAGGAGAAATGTTATGAGAATCATCAGATAACCTGAAAATAACAACCCTCTCCCCAAAAGCCTAAATACCATATTTCACTAAAATGGTATGAATATTGTCATAGTCTATTAGACGGAGAGATAAAAATAGAAATATTACACTTGTCACCTCCTGCAAGAAACCTCAAAATGGAAACTCCCAGGAATTCCACTGCCAAAACTCAAAAGATTTTAATTTTACAAAAAATACTGCAGGCAGCTAAAAACAGAAAGAGTTCATTTATCAAAGTCAAGATCACACAAGATTTGGCAGCTGCAACTTTAATGAAGAGGAGAGTTTAGAATATTCCAAGAGGCAAGAGATAGAGGATTATAACCAAAATTAAACCAATAGGAAACATGGGTATAATCTTTCAGGGGGAAAATGGACCTTTAATTAGATTTAGGATTTTTAATAATTCCCAATTCATTACTAATGGAAGGGTTAGAATTGAGGAGAAAATTTGAAAAACAAATGGAAGTATCAAAAGAAACATAAAAAAGCTAATAAATTTTATTAATAGGAACAGTCTATATGATAATAACTTGTTTCCCTTCTATGGGGGTGTACATGAGATGAAGAAAGGACCTATATGGTTAGAACTACAAAATACCTTTACAGAAATTTAAAAAAAGATGTAAATAATTGGAATAATTCTAATTGTTCAGGAATAGGTGGTATTAATACACTAAAAAGATAATAATGCCTGAGTGTTATATTTATTCAGTGCCATACCAACCAAACCATCAAATAATTATTTTATACAACTAAAAAAATCATAAGAACAAACAAAAGGTCAAGAATCTAAAGGGAAATAATTTTTAAAAATTGAGAAACAGTATATAGTAGTATCAGATCTCAAACTATATACTACAAAGTACTAATCATCAGAATGATTTGGTAATAGTTAAAATATAGAGAGGTGGAGATTAGTGGAACAGAATGGGTACAAAATAAAAAGAAGCAAAGAAAGACAATATTACAGTGTTCTGTCAACGCAAAGATCCCAGCTAATGGAGTAAGGTCTCACTAAGGGACAAAAACTGATAGGAAGACTAAAAAGCAATCTTGCAAAAATTAGGCATAAATTAATGTCTCACAATATATACCAATATAAATTCCCAATGAATACTTGAAATATACATAAAAGTTGACATTATAAACAAAAGAAAGAGTAG